CAGCTTCCCCCAGCTGTGTTCCACAATAACATGAACAGGTGAGATTGTGAAGGATCTCAGGATCATTAAGTGCAAAGTCAAAGTTAAGTAATTCTCTACTTCAGGACTTGGAAGCTTTGGTATGCTAGTATGAATTGTGGTTCCTCAGAAGGGACAGATAGGATAAGGTATTTTCCGAAATACATGAAACTATATTTTAAAGCCAACTGGTCAAACAGGTGCTCCCAAGAACACAGTAAGGGAGCCACCGCTCGAAAGTGATATGATGGCATCTTAAAATGTGTCTGAACAGGACCCTCCCTGGTGATGCACAGCACTATGAAGCTATCACAGCCACTGCAGCACGAGCTCCATCCCTGACCAGGGAGGTGACCTACATGGCACCACAGACCTCTCCTGACCCGCCCACTGCTCCCCTCAGGAGTATGTTTCAGTCAATCTGCCTGTCCTGTTTCTCACTCTGTCTCTGGTGAATCCTCTCACCCCCTGCACCTCTGGCCTGTTCTATATGTATAAATAAACAAATATTTTTTAAAGAAAGTGTTTAAACAAAGTCCAAAGTGCTTCTGCAGAGGTTTTGTCACTTGTACGCAAAAAGACATGGACACTGCATTGTATAGATAATGGAGAAAAAAACACATAAGATTAAGTGGCTAGTCCTGATCACAATCCTACAGCAATTAAGCAAGATAAATCAGTAGCAGACCATGTGCCAGGAGCAAGAGAAATTAGGTTACCCCAAGGGGAAATCACGGAAGAGTCCTGAATGATGCTCCTCCTCATTTCAACCTCTCTTCTTCACAACATTCCCTCTGCATTTGCTCCTCATAGACACTTATCGTGGTAGGGAAGGTAGCTCACGCAAACATGAAGGACAAAGAGACAAAGAAGGGGTTGGAGGGAGCTTGGGCCATGGGAATTAGGAAAAGATTTCTACCATCTTGGACTCATGAGCTGGCCATCATCTTGTATGTAGATCTTCTGGGAAATGTGTGGATATGAAGAAAGGTGGTGGCGATGGGAATTTCGGAAGGACCCACAGAAGAGGACAGAGCTGTATAAAGGTTTCTAAAAGCTCAGGGACTTAAAAGCACCTCATAAAGAAATCAATCTAATCGTGAGATGTCTTGGTTCAGCAGTTAGAGATATCAAGGCAAATTAACTGGGCACTCCCTAAATGTTAACATGAATGCCTAGACCTCCCTAAATTCTGTCACAGTGGATTTCAGAAAAAGGGCCCTGCTGACCACTGCCTACTGAACAGCAGCGTCTTAGAGAAGGGGCCTTCAGCAAAGAAGGCTGTGGGTGGATCATTAGGCCTTCAATGTGATGAGAAGCCCTCTACCCGTATCCACCAAGAACATAAGCTTGATGTCATGGACTCTGGAAGTTGGACAGCCTTAGGGTCTGTCCCCTGTGTGACCACTTGAAGCAGCAGTGTGTCCCAGGGCAGTTACTGAGCTTCCCTGAGACGGGAATGATCACAGCACTACTGCCCAGAGTGACTGTGAGGATTTTAAATGATAACGAACATAAACACCTAAGTACCTCTCAAGACAGGGTTCTAGGTCCTACCTGGGACATTTCTTAAGATGTAGATTTCCCAGGCCTTACCATAGACTTACTGAAGCCAGCATTCTACAGCATATTCTTATCTCAGAGTCTAGTCTGAAAGAGACTGATAAGATAATTTGGGCTTGGCAAAACACAGTAAGTTAATAGCTATCCTTCTGTTTACTGTTATCATTTATGACACGCTACTGTGAGACCTGCTTGCCAGGTCGAACAAACTATTGCTCAAAATTTGAATTTATCTAAATTCAACTCCACAGATATTCACTTGTCCTCGAAAGCCTGAACAAACTTTGTCTTAGTCATTGGCAAGATGAAAATTTTTGTAATTACAGCAGCACAGGTGAATGTGAAGTAATTTCCTGCCAATTTTCCCAAGATTAATCAAGTCATTTTGTTTAAAGAAAAAGCAGTAAGAAGAAGACCTTCAGCAATGTGACAAGCAACATCAGGCACTCAACTCTCTGGGGACTGGCATCTGGTCTGGGGAAGGTGCTTTCAGTGAAGGGAAGCCCTTGTGATGGGGATGATTTCTACATAGATTGGCTGTTAAAAATCAAATGAAGCAGTTCTCAAAGGCCTCTGGGCTAAAGTTGCAGCAGAATCATTCATGAGTTTTCCCAGACATTCAGTCCTACAGAACCTACATCTGTCTGTTCCCTCTACCACCCCTACATCTCTTCTTCTGGAAGACGTCCAGATACAATCTCAGCAAAAGACGAGTCTTTCCTTGCTTGTCACTCCGTGCAGCACAATATACAAAAAGAATGTCACCATAAGCCTGCATGGTAATCAAATGCCAAGTGACCTGGAAGAGAAAGCCTTGACATTTGGATTTTAGGAAAATAAAAAATAGCCAAAACTTTTTTGGAGCCTTACATTTAAGCTCTCAGAATAATTTCCATGAAGTTTTATTTACCTAAGATTACCATCCTGTATTTGGTAGCTAAAAATTTGCTTCCTCGTAGACATCATAAAATCACAGTGAGTTTCTATTCCCCCAAGGCTCTCCTCTCTGATTATATGTGAGGAAGTACTTAATGTGACTGGGTACCTTTCAGGAAAGATTAAGAGAAATAGCCTGGGAAGCATAATATTTCTGAGATCTGATTTCCCAAATGATTACACACAACAGATTAAGCACAACTACACAAAGCAGTACGTTGTATCCCTCTGCTGTCTTTACAGTCTTTGAATTGCTCATTCGCTACATTGTTGATGAACGTTAGGGTAAACCGAGATTTAGGGTAAACCCAGCACAGAGCCACGTAAGTCGTAAGTCGTGGGCTCTCTGCAAACAGCTCTACAAAGACCACCAAATTGGTGAGCATGATGGTGCAAACCTTTGCATCTTTCGTTCCGCAAGACATCTGTGGCCCTAAGGATAACAATCCAGCTTAAAGGAAGTCTTGGGAAAAGAAGCCAAGAGCTTTTCCAGCTGAGGCCAGTGGGAGGAGGCCAAAGAGGAAGTGGGCTCGATAAAACTGTCTCAAAATACGTTCCATCTTAAAAGCTTGAGAAGAAAATTAGAACATGATTTCAGTTTCTTAAATGGAAGCACAACCCCCCAAAATCAAAAGTAAAAGGTCTGTTGATGGAGAAGCTTGAGAGAGTGAGAGAGGTTGACGGTATCACTGCAGAAAGATTGCCCTGTAACAGAGCTTGTTTGTATTACATCCAAAGCTGTGTACCATCTGAGGCTGATTCAGGAAAATACTCAAATCTCCTGGTAATTTCCTGCAGACAGGACGTTTAATCATCTCCAAGCCTCTACCACAAGAGGAAAAAAAAAAAAAAATAACAACTAAACCAAATGATTCACACTCTTAAAAGGAATCTGCCTTCCGAACGAGAACCGTTTTCTGCTCTTGAAAAGCAGCCTCGATATGTTATTCTAACAAAGTGTTCCCTTCCTCCAAACAGAAATAAAAGTCACTCAAGGAAGACTTGTACTGATTTCTGTTCTGCATTTCTTGAAACTTCCATCCAGTCAACAGTTTCTCCTGGCAGGTTCTCAGAAACCCAGGGGTTGCTGGGTAGTCAGTGACTAAGAACACAGGATCATTTTTATAAGCCTCCTCCCCCACCCCCCACTTTTTGGCCCCATGGGAAGATGTTTTATAGTAGGACGAGCAGAATTAGCTGCACATATAAATTCTTCACTGCTCAGCTCACTTGACACCTTTATCTGAATTGCCCAACGGCTGGAAGATTTGGCAACTGATGATTTGGAAAGGAAAGGCCCCAAACCTCCCCAGTGGTATTTATTCTGTCTGTACATACAGGGCCGTGTCCATCTTTCTAATTACTCAACTAGTTGCACAGATAAAAACATCTGTTTGCAGAAAGCAGAGAACCCAAAGTATACAAATGATTCACACCACCTAAACAACGGCAAATAAAGGCTAGCCCAGCAGAATGCCCGCCTCTAAAAGCCAAAATAATTTAACATGGGCGGAAATGGAGTTTGGCAATTCATGCATCAGACTTGGCTCCAGTTTTGGAAGGCATTTCTCCAGCTGCCTCCTCTTCAAAACAAACAAACAAACAAACCTTTGACCCTCTTTACTGGTTCCCAGCTTCTTGCTTAGGTGACCGGATTGGGGGGAAGGAAAGAGGTTGAAAATGCATCTTTGACACAAACTTTATCTCCCCTCCCAGCATTTTGGATTTAAAATATGCTAGGCTACAGCTGCCCAGCACCCCAAGTTAGTATGGGTCCAGTGTCAGCAAGGGAGAGGATGCACTTGGAAACTTGGAGGAGGGCGGTTCCAGGAACTTCCCCAAGCTCCTACCAGCTTCCTCCAGCCTATGGACTGGCCTGTGTGAGCTAGGAAGGCCAGGAGAGGGGGCTCTCTCCACCACCCCCACTTCAGAGAGAACAAATGACAGAAATCCACCAAGGAGAAAAGGAATGAATTTTAACAGTTCTAGGAAACAAAACAATAAGGAGTTTGGGAGGAAAAAAAAAAAAACCAACAATTTTTAAAGCAGAATTCGCTGGAGACATTTGACATTTTTCACAGCATAAGAAAAATAAATGAGTAGATCATTAGCAATAACAACATTTTAAACATACAAGGAAGAGTTACAAGGTAATAAAAATGGCTTGAAAAGTAAGTTCAGGGTAGTTTGAATGTTTCTCCCAAAGAAGTCCTAATATAATAACATTATCCCCTCCTTCTTATTATATCATTGTAAGTATTATTGGTCAACAAAGTGACTGTGCAAAGGCTGGCAGACAATCAGATCAAAAGGATCCCAGCTTCTTGCCCAGAGTTCATGACCACCCCATATCTATGAGGCAAGGCGCATCTTTCCCTGAGGCTAGTTTCCCGGTTCAAGGCTCCTTTTCCGTGGAAGAGCTGTGAAATCAAGGAACAGATTCACTCCAGAGCCCCCTCCCTGAGCCGCCGGGGGCCACTTACCCTGCTCAGTCCTGCATTGCTCTCTGCTGAGAAGCCTCCATAGGGTGAGGGAACTTGGGGTGGGGAGGAAAAGAGGGAGCGCAGACCCAGGGGCTGGGCAGGGCTTCAGCTAGAAGCCCAGTGGGGCACTGGCCGTCCACTACCCAAGGCCAGCGGAGGCCCTGCAGGGGCTCCAAGCAAGGGGGGTGACATTCCCGGGCGGTGGCAGCTGCTCCCTGCACAGCTCCGGATCCAGGAAAATCACTCAGGTCCTGGAGAGAGAAGCTCCAAGCCTCTCCAGGCTGCCTCCCGGCTGCTTAAAGTGACGCCTCCCCACCTCCGGCTCTGCTTATTGGTGAAATTTCTGAACCACAAGCCAATCCTCGGTCTGTTCCCAAATTGAGATTTCAATCAAGGGAGCTACTGCTTAAAATTAGAAAGGGCTGATTGGAGAGGGGGTGGGGGTGGGGAGGCAGCAGTGTTCAGCCACCTTTTGGAAGCAGGACACAGGCTCTCTCTCTGGTCCTTGCAGGAAAAGGTCCTGAGAGCTAGCCGTGGCTGGAAGAGCAAGATTACACTGTGCAGAGCACAAAGGGAAGTCAGGGTAACTAGACCCTCTGCCTTTACCTCTCAGTTCACCTCCCTCCACTCACTCATCCTTCAAAGCTTATCCAATTCATCACAGATGTTGGAGACCATCTTTTCCTGGGAAGAGCCCCCAAACTATGTGCTTGCATAGTTTCCCCCATTTTCTCCCTTTCCAGACACTAATCAGCCTTTCACTTTTTTACTTAATTTGTGCCTCCCTTATACACTATAAATTCCATCAGAGCAGGGATGTTTACACCTATCATCATGCTATATCAGTCACTGCCTGGAATACTGTGAGCTCTCAGTAAATGTTGTTGAATGAATGAATGAATAAACAAAGTGATGAACATTCAAATATATCCTGTTGCCTGTATCTATACAATTGTTAATTAAGAGGTAAAGTTCAGGAGGCCAAAAACTGATTTTCAGACAAGACAGTGTTCAAATATGGCCTTCACTTCTTACTAGTTATGTAACCTGTGCCTCAGTTTCCTTGTTCATAAAGCATGGGATCTCCCATCACAGGATTGTTACAAAGATTGCATTAGATCATGTCTGGACTAGAGGAGGTATTCAGTCAGTAAGTTGCAGACTACTGAATAGTCAATCACTGTTGTTATTACTGAAATCAAAATACAATTGCTGGAGACCAGTCCTAGGACTGGTCTGACTAATAGTTTGGCTTCCTGTTGAATGCACAGTCATTCCTGAAGCAGATATGAATTCACTTCTGACTCAGAGCCAGACTGGGGTAACCTATGAAAGAGTAAAGCCCTGGATGTTAAGGGACTCCTAATGAGTTGTGTACATTCAGGTTTTCCAGACCACAGGATCAATAGTTCATCTATATAAACATACAGGCGCAACCAGATTTATTATAGAGAAGGCCAAGAAGTTCCACGGTCTGCACCTGTAAGCCAGAAAGCAGTAGTGTAGTTTAGGTGGAGGGCAAAGGCCTACGAAGTGACCCATGGTGCCTGGTCTGGGTTCAAGAGCCAAGAATGGAGAATGCCCAAGCCTGAGGACAGGATGAAATGGGCATCTCAGATCAAGAAAGGAGAACAAGATGACTCTTCCTCCATCTTTTTTGCATTGGATTCATGCCATCAAGGCACTAGATAACAGCAACCCACAGTGGAGAGGGCCCTCTTCTTAAGCAGTTTACTGACTGAAATGCCAATGTCTTACAGAGACACACTCACAGGTACAACCCAAAATAATGTTTACCAGCTATGTGGGCATTCTTTAGCTCAGTCACATTAACACAGAATTTACTATCACAGGCTAGGATGAAGGAAAAAATCGAGGTAAATAAGAGAATAATGTGAAATGATGCATGAGCAAAGATATATACAGGGATTTTTATTGCAGAATAGTTTATTATATCAAAATGGCTGAAAACAACTGTCTAATAATATTGGGGGCCTTGATAAATCATATTCATATAATAAAATACTACGCCATCTTGGGAAAAATTAAAAGGGTTAAACACACTAATAGCCACAGATTTCCAAAATATATTGCTAATATAGTGCAGATGATAAGATACATGCCCACTCACAAAAACAAATCTTTGTTTATCATGTACAGGTACACATACTGTTGCATAACATATTTCTAGAACTATGTCTGAGAAAATGGTATGGGTTATAGCATATGTGGCGTGGTGGTTTGAGAACTAGCAGATCAAAACTGAGAAAGAGACTAATATTTCAATTAATATTCAATGTGAATTACTTCAATATTTTACCAGAAACTTATAAAAAGCTTGGGTTCTGGCAAGATGGCAATGATGACAGCCTGAAAATTTTACCCTTCCAACACCTAGATATGCTAGATAAAATATAACAAAAATTATTTTAAATGCTTAGTTGGCTCAGAAGGAAAATTCCCAGGTAGTGAAATAAAGCGGCAATTGTAAAAAAGAATAGTAAGCGTGCAGACTCATGCTGTGGCTATGAAGGAAAGGGAAACATTGGTGGCTTGATTCCCTAAGAACTAGAGTTTTAATACCCTGTAGAAGAGAAAAATAGGCCCTGTAAAAAAAGAGAAGCAGGAAGTTGGAGCGTGCGCTGAGAGCTGAACCCTTAATGAACAAACAGATGAGAAAAATTATCCAACAACCCAATCACACTTGTCTGTGTCTATCCTCTTCTAATAATAAGAGGGAAAAATTGAAGCTGAGATTTTAGAAACACTTGGCCTATGCCTTTGTGAGTACAAGTAACAGTACATGGAATCAAAAATCTTACTGAAAAATTAATGTAAAAATAGAGTCTGATCAGAAACCATAAAATACCTGGAAGCAAAGATGGGCCAAACATTACACAACACATACTTCGGTGACAACTTTAAAGATAGAGCACCCAATGCAATGATAGTGAAGGCAAGGATACATAGATGGGACTACATCAAGTTAAAGAGCTTGATGTACAGCAAAAGAGCCATTACAAAAGACAAACAGACATACTGCTGATTGGGAAAAATTTTTCTCACGCAAAATAAGTGATAAGGGATTGATCACAAAGATATACACAGAACTGATGAAACAACAAAAATAAACAACCCCATCGAAAAATGGGCAGAAGAGCTAAGACACTTCTCCAAAGAGGAAATGCAGATGGCCAACAAGCATATGAAAAAAATGTTCAACATCACATATAATAAGGGAGATACAAATTAAAACCACAATGAGATACCACCACCTCACATCAATGGGAATGGCACATCTTCAAACAACCAGCAACAACAAATGTTGGTGAGGATGTGGAGAAAAAGGAACTCTCATGCACTGCTGGTGGGAATGCAAACTAGTACAACCACTATGGAAAACTGTTTGCAGGTTCCTCAAACTGCTTAATATCGAGCTTCCCTATGACCCAGCAATCCCAGTCCTAGGTATCTACCCAAAAGACACAAAAACACTGATTCAAAAAGATACCTGCTACCCTCCCAGGTGGCGCAGCGGGTTTGCGCACAGCCCTAAGAAGCTAAAGCCACTTCCTCATGAGTTCAACTCCCACCTGCCCTGGAGGTGACCACATGGCGTGGCAGACCTCTCCTGTCCCACCTGCTGCTCCCCTCAGTAATGTACTTCATCGATCTGCCTGTTCTGTTCCCCGCTCTGTCTCTGGTGAGGCCTCTCTCCAACCCTGAGCCTCTGGCCTGTACCCCAGTTCTGTATGCACAAATAAATAAATCTTTTAAAAAAAATACCTGCACCCCCATATTTACTGCTGCCTTATATACAACTGGAAAGACGTGGAAACAGCCCTAATGCCCAAAAGTGGATGACTGGATTAAAAAGATGTGGTACATATACACAATGGAATATTACTCAGCAACCAAAAAAAAAGAAACACATGTCTTTTGCAGCAACATGGATGGAGCTGGAGAAGATAGGTCAGGCTTAGTGAAATAAGCTGGAAAGAAAAGGAAAAATACCAGATGGTTTCACTCATAGCAGGAGTATAACGGACCAGGCGAGAAAATAATAATAATAATGAACAGCTATATACCAGAGACATTTTATGGGGATGGAGTGGAGAGTGGGATCAAGAACAGTGGGGGGAGCGAAATGCATTGTACTATGGTGATGGCACATGGGTGATTTGGGTGATGGGAAGCCCACAGGGATTACAACTGAGATGATAAAATGCACAACATGTTGTAAAAATAAACTATTATATTATTAAAAAAAAAAAAAAAAGCCTGTTCATGATAATCCAGAATGCCACACAAATAGAAAATTTCCATGGAGAGTCAGTTCCACATCCTAGACTATAACTGGCCCTGCAAAGCATGGTAAATTCTACAATACCTGGGAAACTGACAAGTCAACAAATATGAGGCTGAGAAATCATAGACAGTATTTTGAAAAGAACATTACAAAATTTAAACTGATTTAAAACATTAAAGCTATAAAGGAAACTCTAAAGAGAACGAGTCATGATGCCTCTTGGACTCACTGCCTCCATGGACTCACTGAAATTAAACACCCAGAAGGTAGGTTAAAATGGGAATTTTAGATACTGCTGAAGAGACATAGATCTCAAAACTCTACACAGAGGGAAGGCACAATGGGGTAACAAGTTGAAAAATATGAAAGAAAGGCTAAGACATACAGAGGAGAGAATGAGAGGGCCCAAAATATGTCTAATGAACACCACAGAGCATAGATAAAGTGAGAAGAGGCATCATGGCTGAGAATTTTCTAGGATTTGTAAAACTCACAAACCTCCAGATTCATGATGCACAAGGCAGATTAATCAAGATAAACATAAGAACACTTGCATGTATTAATTATTCATCATTGAACAGTGAGTACAAACCTGAGTGGGGGGATGCAACAGCTTTATAAAGCTATGAGGGAGGTAAGCAGAAGGCACTGAGTAGCAGCAGAGGAGCGAGGCTGCCAATCCACATGTCCAGCTGGATCTTGAACGCACAGTTGTGTATCTGGTGCCCAAGTACCAGGCAAGATGGATGTGATCTTTGGGAATGATGTGTTCATGCAACTATCACACAAATGTGGAAATCAAAAATCAAAGGGGGACTGTAAAACTGCCATGGAAACACAGTGGAAGAAAATTTCCATATTCTTACAAGGCTCCCCAAGGAGGTAATAATTGTGCTGAGAGAGCTTGGGTATTTAGGGAAAAAGAGT